AACTGAGAGACTAGTTTGCGTAGAAACGGACAGACGGACAGGCGGACAGACGGACATGGCTAGATCGACTCGTTGATCCTGATCAAGAATATATATACTTTATATAGTCGGAGGTGCCTCCTTCACTGCGTTGCAAACTTCTGACTGAAATTATAATACCCTGCAAGGGTATAAAAACAATGAAGTAATACCTGCATTCATTTCATTCACCTATACATATTATATTTGCAGTTTTACAGTCACAGATTTGCATCTTTGCTCCACATCTAACTATCGTTTGTATGGCGCCTATGTGATATAGTCGTCCGATTTTCATAAAATTTGACACAAAATTTTTGACTGATATAAAATGGCTATATCTCAAATTTAATGAAAATCTGCTGAAAACTGAAAACGTTATAATTTTTAATTGTATTCATTTTTTGATCGTTTCTTTGGCAGCTATGTGATATAGAAGTCCGGTTTTTTTATAACTTTTCACAAAACTGTAGATTAAAATAAAATGGCTATATCTCATATTTGATGAAAATCTGGTGAAAACTGAAGAAGTTAAAATTTTTTCAAACTGAAAATGTTATACTTTTTAATTGAATTAATTTCTCGATCGTTCATATGGGAGCTATATGATGTAGTCGTCCAATTTTCATAAAATTTTACACAAAATTGTAGAATAATATGAAATGGCTATATCTTAAATTTGATTAAATTCTCTTGAAAACTAAAAATGTTTTCGCCACCGCGATTGTCAGTCTCCCGACAAAAGCCACCGCCATTCTCATTCCTCTCAAATTTCTCGATCGTTCCTATGGGAGCTATATGATATAATAGTCCAATTTTCATAAAATTGTACACAAAATTGTAGAATAATATAAACCGGCTATATCTCAAATCTGTTGAAAACTAAAAATGTTATAATTTTTCTTGTAAACATTTTCCGATCATTCCTATGGCAGCTATATGATATAGTCGTCCTATCCGGACCGTTCCGACATATATACGAGTGAGAGTATATAGAAGACTAACTGCAAAGTTTCATTCAGATAGCTTCAAAACTGAGAGACTAGTTTGCGTAGAAACGGACAGACGGACATGGCTAGATCGACTCGGCTCTTGATCCTGATCAAGAATATATATACTTTATATAGTCGGAGGTGCCTCCTTTACTGCTTTGCAAACTTCTGACTGAAATTATAATACCCTGCAAGGGTATAAAAAGCGTTGGTTCTTTGCAAAGACACAAACAGAGAAAATCACTTCATTTTGGAAAACAATGATATAAAGTTATGAAAACAAGATAAATAAGATAAGGGTCCCACCCTGGGAAAACATTTGTTGGACGTCTATAAGGCTTAATCCTTAATCCGAGATACCACACAATATCAGTTAAGCATGGGGAAGTCAAAATAAAGTATTGGGCTGCATTTTCTAGGCTTGGTGTGGTGGCGATCGTCCGAATAAATGGGATTAAAAATTGATTTGAATGTTTAGAATTATAAAACAACATTATGGATCCATATTCATTTAATAATAGCACTGCAAAGTGGATCCTTATGAGGGATAGTGATCCAAATCATTCATCAAGGTTCGTACAGAAGAGGTTTCGGAAAGAAAAACTTTAAGTTAAGAAATAGCCAGCACAAGGTTCACACTTGAAACGTAGCAAGAACTATTAGAATGATGTACAAGTGGCTTCTGGCCAGAAAAAAATTAAAAATAACAATGATTTGTGGGCTGGGGCTCAAAAAGCCTGGTACTCATCCCAAACGAACGTTAAAATTTTTTTTACTTTTTTGTATATTTTTGAAAATAACTTAAAAAATTTGATTTTCTTTGAAATCTTTTTTATGTTATAAAAAGTTTAATAAATAGGCTAGAAAATGTAATATTAGCTTTCCCCTTTTTGTTTACATTTAATTAAAAAAACTTATACTACGAAATTTTTTGTGCCAATTATATGACCATAGCTATAACTCTTGGGACTTTGTTAATTGAAAAATCATTAAAATCCCATATAATCCACAGCCTTCAAACAAACAAATAAAAATTTAAGTGAATTTGACAAAATTAAATGGTGTTAAATTTCTGTGCATACATTTTATGTGCTTTTGCCATTTTGGTGGATGTTGTGGGCATCTTTAATCCGTATGGGATCCACGTACAAACTTTGGATAGCTCACTTGCCAAATAAAATGCATCCTTTGTGCATTTTTGGCGCTGGTTTCTGGCATCATTAACCCTCAATGGTGTATAAGTGCACATTTAACCTTTATATTATATTAATAAAATGACTATTTCGGCACCGACTGATATTAAAAATTTCATTTCATTAAGAGATTCATTGATTATGGAATATTGGTTGGATTATTCTTTTTTACGGAAAGCGAAAGGGAACTATCGGCCAAGCCTAATGCAATACTAATATTGGCTATGCAAAAGCACGGCCGGGTTATTAGCGACATTATACGTATGAGAACGGCATTTGAAGCATAAACTATTTCATTCGAAAAGTTTCAAATGGAATACCAAAAGCAACTTCTCAAAACATATTGTGAAAAATGTATGGATATCCAGGCAGAAATCGATATTTGTATTATAACAAAAACTATATATCGGTCTGCAATGGGAAAAGTCGAGCCTCAGTGACTTAGTCAAGGGGATATCAGTTATTATCTTCACACGTGCCAGTTACAAAAAATTAATCGACGTAAAATTTTGGAAAACATTTTAAGTTTTCTTTTTATGGGTTTAGTTCATTATGACCTATTTTTATTTTTAAAGTTAGTTACATTAGAAATGTGAAAGCGTTTCAAATTTCAGACTTGACTTATGAAAAAGACAATATATGTTTGATCTTTTTCGACCTTCTTAAGGTATCAAAACCCTTTGAATCAGGCTAGAGGTCATTTATTGATTGGGATTTGGGTCCTTTACGCATAGTTTTCAACCATTGGGTAGTAAATAGAAAAAAAATGTCCAAGGTGGAGTACACTTCCAAATCCCGTTTTGAGAAAACCTAGATTATAATAAGTTACCGACATGGTTCGATTTTGCGATTTAGTTAAGTCGGCGATACCAACATTTAGCTGCTGAGGAGTCAACTTAAAGTAAAGGAAAACCTAATCATGTATTACAACTGAATAAAAGTATCGATATAGCTCAGAAACGAATTAAAGTTTAAGCAGTTGTCAAACTTCCGTGGCTCTGTCCGTCATTTAAGGGATCGATTTCATCAAACACAATGGATTTCATCAAAGGAGAAATCTGAAAATTTAACATCAGATCGACAACGTCTAGATCCTTTTGTATACACGAACGAGCTAGATGGCGATTGCTCTCAAAGCCGGAATTTGTTTCACTATTTCTTCAAAATCTACATTGGACTGTGTACCATGCCGGTGCCAAGGTGATACTATCACTTTTGATACAGCAAAAAGGGATAAGAACCTGTGTTAATGGGGCAAATAATGCCCCGCTGAAAAATGAGTTCTCTTCTGGTTTGTGGGGTAGCCTTTTGCAGTTCATTTTATGCATCTTCAGATTTTAATATAAAAAAATCAGATTTTAATCTCAAAATTGATGAAAAGCGGTTGATAACTGAAAAAGTTATGATTTTATTAATTTCTAGATCGTTCCTATGGCAGCTGTATGATGTAGTCCATTTTTTTTTTTTTTTAATTTTACTCAGAATTTTAGAATAATACAAAATGCCTATATCTTATATGTAATATAAATCTGTTGAAAACTGTTAAGAGGGTAGACCACCCTGACTTAATCTTGATGCCGATATTCTTACGGCCTTTTTAAGACATCGGCCTTAAAAATATCTCATTACTTGTAGATTCTACAGCCATTAGAAGTGAGCGCTGCCGGTATACCTTAAAGTACTTTCTTTATCTTCTTTTACGTTTTTCTTAAAACTAGTGTACATGATTTCTCAAAAACTGCCGGACCGATTCTTTTAAATTTTTTTACATACGTTCTCTATAACGTCCTCTATGGCATTACGTAGGATTTTTTTTGATATAATTTTTCGTTTTAAAGTTATAAAATTTTAAATCAAAAATTTCGTCTAAAAAAGTTTTTTTTTTAAGTGACTGTATAAGCACAAGTTAGTGTTAGGAAACGAACATGCATTGCTTCGGGATAACATTTATATTCAACAAGAACTGAAAATGGTAAAATTTTTGTTGTAAAAGTGTTCGGATCGTTCCTGTGGCACCTATATGATAAAATAGTGCGATCCGACCCGTTCCGACATATATACGAGTGAGAGTAAATAGAACAGAACATAGAATAAATTAAAGTCAAGCTGCAAAGTTTCATTCAGGTAGCTTCAAAACTGAGAGACCAGTTTGCGTAGAAACAAACAAACGGATATGGCTAAATCGACTAGGCTGTTGATGCTGATCAATATATATATATACTTTATATGGCCGGAGGTGACTTCTTCACTGCGTTGCAAACATCTGACTTCAATTTTAAAACCCTGCAAGGGTATAATAGATTCGAATGAAATTTAAACAAAATTAATTGTAAGAACATAGGCTGGCATAGCCCTATATGCCCAAAATTCGGATGCTGATTGTGTAAGCAGTCTCAGATCTAAGATTGAGAAGGGTGGCAGCGCCAGCGTAATGAATTCTTTGAACTTCATCGTTGCTACGTGCTCCTTCTTCGTTGCAATGCAAATTCCGCAGCTAGGCCGCTAGCCATTAATTAATTAATTAAATTTAATTATTTTTCCCGAAAAGTACCACGAAGTTTTGAGCAGTTATAAGTTATAGTCCTTCGATCTGGCACTTCCGACTTAGTGAGAGCAGACAATACAGTTTTTAAGTTTCAAAGTTACATTTAAAACTGAGAGACTAGCTTGCGTAGAAGCAGACATGGCGGGATCGACTCTGCTGTTGATAATGAACAAAAAATAATATAGTTTACAGGGTCGGAACTAACTCCTTTACTGCGTTGCAATTGTATAAATATTTTCAAAAAAATCATACCTTTTGATCCGTGTACTACGTTGGGGTAAAAAAGATCATTGCCTGAAATATCTTTTCCCAATTGAGAACCTTTTGATTCTCCAATACGTGTAGCTTTAGAAAGCGAATGTTCATTCAAAATAACTTCTTTAAATGACGCTTTTTCATTTTTTAATGATTGTATTAGTTGTGCCCGTCCTCGACCTACTGAAATGTTAACGTGTTCCAAAGAATTTAAGATATCACATCCTATTTTCTTTTCAAATCGAAGAGACTCTCCACTTGAACCGGAATGGTCTACATCCAAACCGCTATCTATTTCACGATCATCACTTGAAGATGAAATTTCGGAAGTGCAATTCTTTTTGTTAAATAAACTCAATAGATTTCCTCTGCCCGACATATTCTGAAATAAATAAAAAAAATTTTTTTTAGTTTTTTTTACATAGTTTTAATTAAATGACAACAAAACGTTAATGTTGCCTATAAAATATTGATATTTGTTGCAGTACCGAAACGATTAAGAATGCAATATAAAGAAAAAATATTGAAAAACTACAACATAAGAATACAATGTACATAAATATACCCTTCTCAAATATTAATTTTCCAATTCCAAAAGAAGAAAGATTGTAGAACTGATAAAGTTTATAGGGTGATATATAAATACATATATATAAATAAACGTTTTTAATTAGTAATACATAAAATTACAATATTTGTTTTCTTAGTGTGAAATTTTAGAAGACTCCGCTTTAAGTCACCGGCTACCATTTAGATTTGTTCGTTGTATTGTTCTTTATTGAATGCATTTTATATCTTAACAATTTTGGTTACTTGGCCTTATTCTAATGCGAAGCTAACTCTAACGTAGGCAGAGGTGCTCGCCGTCTGAGTGTGGCGATCATATTACATTTGCACTTGAACTAGTGCTTGCATTGCAACTAAGTGTCACAATGATTTTGTATGTTTTAAGCATTGGCATATATTGCTGTTATGCATTATCCTTATATGTTTTTATATTATTATGCGCACATCACATCTCCAGTTTTTTTAATAAAAAAGTATTTAATATAAAAATATATATTTTTGTGTTTTTTTTTTCAATTTGACAGGGCTGATCAGAGCAATTCTTATAAATTTTTTTTTTTAATTTTAATTTTATTTTGCAAATTTTTTAACCAATCCTTATATACTTTTTGTCTCTTACTTTTCGTATCTTTTATAACTACATTGTTGTTTCCTCTATTCCTATGACCTCAAATGGTCCTAAATAGACAGGATCTAATTTGTGTGCAGTTTCGTTTTTTAGTATTACCTTATCTAGCTTCTTATCATAATTTTCTTTATTCTTTGTCTTATGCTCTTTTAACATTATCCTAGCTCTTTTATATGCTATTTCTAATCTATATTTTGTTACCTTAGCATAATCATCTATATTATATAGGGGGTCTATTGTATGGTCGCTATTAAAATATTTTGGCAAGTTGCTTTGCTTGCCAAAAACCAGCTCATATGGACAATAATTATGTGCTATTGAGGGTGTTGTGTTGAAACAATAAACAACGTAAGGAAGCCAAACGTCTCAATCAGTTTTGTCTACTGATATATACGAACGAATATACTCATTGAATGTTCTATGGCTTCTTTCCACAGTACCTACCGTTCTATGATGGTGCGCCTTAGATGTTTTGTTTTTAATATTCATGTGTTTACACAGGTCATTTATGATTGAATTCTTATATTCTGTTCCCATGTCCGTAATGAACGTCTTCATTGGACCGTACTTCAGAATAAAAGATTCAAAAATTGCCTTTGTGACAGTATTGGCACTTTTGTTTGTTACAGGTATCGCTACTAAATATTTGGTGAGATCACACATAAGTGTGACTGCGTATTCATTACCGTTTTCTGATTTAGGCAATGGGCCAATAGTATCGACTATTACTCTGTCGAAAGCTTTTAAGGGGGTTTCGGTTAGTGTCAATGGTGTCTTGCTATGTATCGTTGTTTTCGATTTCTGACATTCTTGACATTTTCTTACATATTCCCTAATATCACGAGTCATATTTTTCTAATATTAGGCTCGCTTTATTTTTGATAACGTTTTAGTAATTCCTGTATGACCTCCTTGTATGGGATCGTCATGATTTGTAAACAGTATTGCTTCTATATCATTTTTATTTTCTAGTATGGTCACCGGCTTGAGTAGCGCTACTCTTATTGATTTTAATATCTTATTGCCCATAACTTTGAAAGATTCGATTGAAATAGTTTCAAATATCTTTCCACTCGGTGCCACTTTAAGTTGACTAATGCCTAATACACCGGCTTCTTTTTCAAGCCTTTGGAAGAGCTGACCTAAGTCAAGTGTTCCATTGGTGTAAAGGTCGTCATCATTAATTCTTGCTATAACCTTCTTTCCATGTTTAAACAAACATTTATAAGTCATTATTAGCAAGGTCACAACTTTACGTACCTCGTCATTATAGATGAATTCGTATACGTTGGGCTAAGAAGCATCGACTATAGTTTGCATAAGCAAAGTATTTTTTTCTCCTGCGCAGGAATTTTTCTGTTTACTTTGTTGCCTGGTAGTGACTTTTAGGACTTTTGTTTGTAATTCCTTGATATCACTTATTGTGATTCTTGTAGTTCAAGTCTCATGCTTGTTAGTTTAGAACTAGGGTTCACCATTGAAAATAGATAGGTTAGTGGTTAGTGCCTGCCATAAACATATGATCTAAAGTGGGTTATTGCCCAATGAATAGCTGCTAATTCTTGTTCTGTTGTGCTTTTGATACTTTCACCCTTAGTGAATGCTCTTGACGCGGAAACAACTGGAAGTTGGAGTCTATCTCTGTTTTAAGTTAAAACAACTATACACGCTTGCTTACTAGCATCTGTTATTATGCAAAATTCCTTACTAAAATCTGGGTATTGCAGCAAAATAAGTTTAATTAGCGCAGATTTTAAATGATCAAATGCGAGCTGGCAATCAGCTGTCCACTCAAATTTAACATCTTTTTTACATAACTTTGTTATGTGACGGGAATATTCGGCGAAGTTCTTAATGAATCTTCTATAATAATTGCAAAATGCAACGAAACTTCTAACGCTGTCCGCATCATGTGGGACTGGGTATTTTTTGCTCAGAGCAACCAATGACTATTACATCATCCATGTATAGGAATGCTTGCGAGGGTTCAAGTCCGGAGAATTCTATAGTCATCATTCTCTGGAACGAATTATTTTTAAGCCGAATGGTAATCGCGTGAAGCGATATAAGCCATTGCTCGTTGAAAATGATGTTACATTTCTGGAACTATTTTCAAGTTAAATTTAGTGAAAACCCGACATTAAGTCGAGACATGAGAAGTATTTTGCTCTGCCTAGTTGACCCAAAACGTCATAAATTCTCATAGGGAGCGGAAACTTATCTGATAGTAGTCTTTTATTTATCTGACGTTAATATATGACTAATCTCAATTTTTTCTCATCCGAACCCGGGAGAGATTTTTTAGGCACTAGCAACAGTTGGCTATTATATTATGTATGTAACATATTTGCCTGTTTGTAGCTCGATTTGGACAAGGCCTTTAGATTTTATTACACCCTGTCCAATACCCTGTATATTTTGTATTATTTCCTCTATTGTTATTATTATTATTTTGGCCTCTCTTGTTGTTTTTATTATTGTAACCGGTGTTATAATTATTGTAACCGTTGTTTCGGTTATTACCTCTTCCGCGTTTATTATTTTGTCTTCCTTGATAGTGCAAGAATGCGTGTGCCTGGCCGGTTGCTTCACTGCAACTGTTTACAAATTTGGATATGGCATCATTCATGCTATTGAATGCGCCGGCCTCCATGATAAGCTTAACATTTTCGTTAGTACAGTATTTGGTCATTGCCTTTATGGCGAGCGCAATGCTGTACTTTGAGGCCAAATCCGTGGATAGACCATCGTGCAAGTAAGCTCCCTGCAACGACTTTGTTAGTTCTTCCACGTCCTGCACTGTACACTGTCTCGTGTGTTTCTCTGCCAACCTCGCAGTATTTTTGTTAACAACATCAACGATGTCGTTGTATTGTTGTATTATAATTCGAACCAGAGTGTCAATTTTTATGACCGTATCTCGGTTTATGCATTTATTCGATCTATCAAATTTATCTCGGCTTTCGTTAATTTATTTATTTATTTACTATATGGTTCCATTCCATATTTAAGAAAGGAATAAAATCATTTTAATGAATTTTGTGTTTCTATTTCTGGTATTATTTTCGTCTATCTTCTATATATATAAAAACGCTCTGTTCGTGTCTACATCCTTCATAGACTTGAAAAGTTCAGAACCGTTTAAGCCCAAATTTTTACACAACATGCGTTGAGGTTCCAGCTCGGTTATTGTCTACTTTTGATGTTGATAGCTTATCTGCGGTTGCGAATATATCAATTTTTTAGCGTTTCCCCGTGCCCCTACTGCTGCGCCCTCTACAGGCAGCCAGCTGAATCAAAGCATTTCCTGTCAAACATTCAAAACATATTGAAAGAAGAAACTTGAAAAGTTCTGAACCGTTTAAGCCCAAATTTTTAGAGAACATGCGTTGAGGTTCCAGCTCGGTTATTGTCTACTATTGATGTTGATAGCTTATCTGCATTTGCGAATATATCAATTTTTTTAGCGTTTCCCCGTGCCCCTACTGCTTCGCCCTCTACAGGCAGCCAGCTGAATCGAAGCATTTCCTGTCAAACATCCCAAAAATATTAAAATAAGAAATAATAGATTAAAATTTTATTTTTTTGTTTAGTTAAAGTAAGAAACGAAGTCATGCCACCCAAGAAGTCGATTTTGGGTAGTCGTACTCGCAATACAGAAGCAAAAAGACGTAAGATTACGAATATGACTGACGAAGAACGGGCCTCCATCCGAGAGACTGAGCGGCTGCGCGATGAACTTTTACTCATACAGGTTAATGGTTAGGAGGACCGATTGCAATCATATATTGAAATGTCGTCAGTTGTTTCATTAGTACATTGTCGATATGTATGCAAAAATTGAAACAGAACGTTTGCTGTTCCTCCGATTGAATCAGAAGAAACTTCGGTCCGAGGAATATATCCATTTGCGGGATGCTGTGATGAATGACCGTAATACAACCAACGTTGGAAAGCTCACGATTTTGCCATCCTCATACATAGGTAGTCAACGCCACATGCATGAATATGCTCAAGATGCCCAGGCATATGTTCGTTGCTACGGCCGTCCAGACTTATTTATCACCTTCACATGCAATCCAGCTTGGGTCGATGTAGTACAGCTGTTATTTCCTGGACAATCGTATAGGGATAGGCATGACATCACAGCCCGTGTTTTCAGACAAAAGCTCAAGTCACTGATGGAT